GCATGCAGGAGGCAGTCAATCCATGTTCTGCTCTCACATTCATGTTTCTCTCTCCCTCTCCCTTTCTCTCTCCCTCAAATCAATAAAAACATATTTTTTAACTATATTTTATTGATTTTTTACAGAGAGGAAGGGAGAGGGACAGAGAGCCAGAAACATCGATGAGAGAGAAACATCCATCAGCTGCCTCCTGCACACTCCCCACTGGGGATGTGCCCGCAACCAAGGTACATGCCCTTAACCGGAATCGAACCTGGGACCCTTGAGTCTGCAGGCCGATGCTCTATCCACTGAGCCAAACCAGTTAGGGCAATAAAAACATATTTTTTAAAAAGAAAGAAAACAAAGAAGTCCCCCCCTCTATCAACAATAGACACTTGATTTTTCTCTCTCTCTCTGTTCCTCTCTGAAATCAAATAAAATATTTTTTAATATGTTTTTATTGATATCAGAGAGAGGAAAGAAGGAGATAGAGAGGTAGAAACATCAATGATGACAGAGAATCATTGATCAGCTGCCTCCTGCATGCCCCACACTGGGGATTGAGCCCACAGCCCGGGCATGTGCCCTTGACCTGGGATAGAACTGTGACCTGTGACCTCCTAGTTCACAGGTCAACGCTCAGCCACTGAGCCACACGGGCCAGGCAAGGACATTTTCATTTTTAACAAATGCATGAGCTGAGGCTCCTGCACCCTGAAACCCATCCTGCTGGGCTTCTAGAACATTCTAGAGAATGGCCCCACCTTTAAGAGCCAACCAGAGCACCAGGTGAGTCAGGGCCGCTTTCCAGGTGCCTGGGCCAGAACAGCACCGGGCTGGTCCCTGATTGGCCCTCACCTGCTGTGTAGAGTCCTCGGCCCGCCATGGCTGGATGCTGTGGGCATCTCACTAATGCAAAGGCCAGAAAGTGAGGGGCAAAAACATCTTCACGCGCAGAAAATTAAACCAACTGGGGTTTTTATTTACATAATCGGGATACAAAAGAAGCCCTGGAGTCAAACATACAGAAAAAAAGCTCTAACACCCCATTCTCAGTGGGGTGCGGGCCTGGATATTTGAAAGAAACTGAAGAGAAAGAAAAGGCATAAAAGGTCGTTGGGTGGCCCCCTCGGGGAGTCGG